GTTTTTAACAATATAACATTTTTTTTTTTTGCTTCTAGTTGAAAAATTGAAGTCTCAAAACGAATTAAAATACTCGTTTTGTATACAATGTACATAGTTACATTGCAAGTTTAAGATTAACGGTCTGTGGCTCTAATGGACATGTTTTTTTTTCATCGGCGAACGTTTTCCTCTCCTCCTTTCTAGGAAGCCGCCTTGTCAGGATCACTAATCACGTCTATTTTGTATGCGACTAATGAAATACTCGTATAAATAATGGAATGGACGACGACTACTCTGGAGAGTTGTCGCATCAGACAGAATAATAAATATGCTTGGGACGCGCGTATCTCACCGTTTCCTTATAGCATTCCCCTTCTGTTAGCACATTTCTCAGGTTTTGTAAAGTGCATGTATAGAAAAAACAAAGCGGCTCAAGAAAGTAGTGACAAATTCACTGTTGGCAACCGTCCCGTTGTCCAGTTTGTACTTAGTTTTCTTTACGAACATTAAGTCGCTTGTCTGGTAAGACGGTCGAGAAAATCATCTAGCGGCAATGTCATCACGCGAGTGTTTTCAGTTATGACACAACGATATGATCATGTTTTTTTTTATTAACTGTACTGTGAAACTCCATTTCTGAGTTCAGCAGCAGAAGTGTCATTTCAAATTTTACTAGAATGCGCTGAATTATCGACTGACACATAATTGTGTCAATCATTCTCAAACAAATCGAATCTATTGCAATTACAGAAATTTTTCTAAAATAATTTTGACAAATTTTTCAATACAATTTATATGAAAGAACTTTTAGAACCATAAAAAGAATTATAATCATATATATATATCAGTTTTAGAAGAAATTTTAGTGAAAATTCTGTTAACCGTAACAATCTTAAAATCAAGATCAAGGACATGGCCAACAGAATTTTCACTTTAAACGTAAGTTTGTAGGTTTCAAAATTATACAGAAACAATTTTAGAACATAATGTTAGTAATTGAGGTTATTTTATTTAATTATTATATTTTATATCTTCTGATTATTCATAACATTAATTTAAAATAATTGAAGTTTAAGCTTATTTATTCATTGATTGATATCGCATCGCATTATTAGTGACAAAACTGACATATTTAATTTTTATCTTATGAAGTGTACGTCTCACTACTTATACGATGTAGGTTCACTGAAATATTAAAAAAGTGTGGCATTTATATATCTACTTTAAAATGTCTGTATATAAACTTCAACAAAACTAAAAAAAATTTACATNTGTATATAAACTTCAACAAAACTAAAAAAAATTTACATATGTAAACTCCGACAAACTAATAAAGTACATTTCACTAACTTCAACAAATCATACAAGTAAAAAATTTTATTAATCTTAACTGCATAAAATGTTAACATTATATTTGTTATACAAATAACTAGGTTTAGGGTATGAACATTTTTTTTATTTTATTTGATCTGTTTCTTCAGAACATGTCGATGAAAAACCATATTGAATTACTTAATATATATATATATATATATATATTTAATAATACATAAGAATTATGTAGTACCTACCAGAATTAAAAGCTACCATTTGTTCGCTATTTTTTTCTAATTGAGCCCATTGTTTTTTTTCAACCATTTGTGTTTTTAGGTCAACATCTATCATGTATCCAGGGCACATTTTGTGTCACAGTAACTGTAAAAAGTCTAGGTGTTTTTTAATTTTTGACAGTTTTAATGCATATTCATTACTATATCAAACAAATCGTTTAGTTTTTTTTTAAGTCGATCTTCCCTTTTTTTTTGTAAAATGATTGGCTTGTTTTTATTCTTTTTAAAATGTNTTCAACCATTTGTGTTTTTAGGTCAACATCTATCATGTATCCAGGGCACATTTTGTGTCACAGTAACTGTAAAAAGTCTAGGTCTTTTTTAATTTTTGACAGTTTTAATGCATATTCATTATTATATCAAACAAATCGTTTAGTTTTTTTTTAAATCGATCTTCCCTTTTTTTTGTAAAATGATTGGCTTATTTTTATTATTTTTGAAATGTCTCCAGGACTCATAAATCTTTTACAGTTTTATTATATGGTGGACTCAATTTCTCAATTTTGTAATTAAAACCTATTTTTCATTTCGAAACTAATTCGACAATATATAATTTAAAAACATTAGAAGTTAATGATTTTAATTGTCTATATGGAAAAAATTGGTTAAGCAAATTTGTATTTAATAAGGAGGAAATTATTTTCAAGTCTTGAGGGTAATATTTTTAACTAGACACTAGTTGAGATCATTTGACGTATTGTTGAAAAAAATTTTCAAGTAAGAGCTGACAAAAAAAAACCATATAGTAAAATATTTTAATATGTATAAAAAATCCGTTTTGACAAAAGAAGACTAAAGTGAAGAGTTCTTTGATACTCATTGAAATTATACAATCTAAATGAGATAAAAATCAAATAAACTTTAAATTTTATTTCTACCTTAAAAAGAATTAAGAAAAAAATTCAGAAAAGTTATGTGGACAAGTGGGCGAACCCCACCCGACCCCGAGCGTAGAAAATTGTAATGTTTTCGACGCAACAATCGTTTATTATATAAATTTGTAGCTAAAAATAATAATTTAAACTAGTTGAAAAATTCAAAGCAGCTTTTCGTAACTTTGAAGAGTTAAAGTAATCAATATAAATTTAAATTTATAATTAATGTAATTTAGATTCATGTAAATTTCATAAAAATTCGTGGACTCATTACTATGGCAAATCCTTGTTAAATATTTTAAAATAAAAAAACAAAATTTTAACACAAAAATTGCATGTTAACTTTTCATGTAAAAGTTAATATTTTAAATCTCACTCAATAGGCAGGTAAAGAGTCAGATTAATGAACAATTTACTAAATAAAAAAATAATACCTAAGATATTTATAAAATTAAATTTGATTTGATATATCCATTTTTTTTTTTTTAAATTTATAACAGTTTAAAGTAAAAAAGTTTTAAAAATGTTGAAATCTACCGATTTTAAAAATTGTAATTTTCTGGGGGATTTTTCCCGTTTACAGAAAATTAGGGAATTTTTTTTAATTTTTAAATGATTTGATCAAAATTTAATGAATTATTATAAAAAAACCCGTCATTTTCACTTACGAAAAAAGAGTTTTTTATTTTCACACTACAATTAACTTATAAGTACTGAATAATGTTACACAATGTACAATGTAGTACAACAATGTGAGTTTATTAGTGGAATCATTGCTTAGAATTTTAAATGAACAAATGTTATTACTTTAAACTGAATAATCTTAAGAGGAATAAATCGTCTACTAAATTGTACAATTGTGTAGAGACAATCCTAAAAGTAATCAATTAAAATCGTGGTGCTACTAAAATGTGTTTATTTTAAAGCAATACTGGTACATATAGACCATATCGTAGATATTTAAATATTCTGGATTCATAATTTTCGATTGATTTATGTTGTTAATATTACACGATGATTTACTGATGGAAATTAAAGACATAAAAATACAAAGAAATCATTACGTGTGATTGATATTTAAACAAAAGTTAACAATAGGCTCGCTTTTTAATGTCTCTTCGATCGTCATATTTCAAAACTAATGGATAATTATTCTGGAATAATAATTTATTGGGAATTAAAGCTTTAAACATATAAAAAGTTTACTGTCGATTAATTATTATTGACGCTGCCTTGACAATGAATAACTATTCAACCGCCAAAATAATTCTTTTGGCTACTCTAATGTAATCGGCCGACTGGACAATCGTATCAGAAGTGTCGAGCTTTTATATTATTGTACTAAATGAACGGTACTGAAGAAAACGCGGTGGAAACATTGACATGCTGATTACTTGGTACTGTTCATGTCCATTTGAACGAAACTTCATACGACTCCTTAACGGAAGTTGTGATACTGACGAAAGACGAACTGCAGGCGGTCTCTTAGTAGAAGCACACGAATGCGCGTTCAAAAGTGTTATAGGCACAATGAGGTGATAAATTTGCTAGCGAGTAGTTGAAGGGACACGTTGTCTGTGGATGGGTGTGGTGATCGCACGCGGAGGTCTTTTAATATTTCTCTGGCGACCATATTTTCTACAAGGGTGCCACCGTTGCTGCCACTAATGACTTCGTTCATGATTTACGGGATACATCTTTCATATTTTCCTTCTGCCGCTACAGTGGCCAATGTGGTAAGCGGTAACGTGACGAACGAGGAAAAAAAGGAGTAGTTGAGAGAAAAAAGCGAACGTTTGCCCATTTATCGTCCTGATGGACGACATTTTTCTTGAATCTGTCATGACAACTTTTCACTGACTCTTCTTTTCTGTCTCGCAGAATATATGTTTGCTTGCATACGCGAATTGTGTGTGTATATAAAATATATTTGCGCATTTACTTTTGTGTCGTTTTTATTAAGGTGTAAAAACTATGTGTATATTATACAAATGTCCAAAATAACACACCTGACTATTCATGTTTTATTAAATTATAAACACTTAAAATGTAAATCTCTAAAATATTTATAATGAAACGAGTTCTTATCAATTAAATTTACAAACACTGGATGCATCAAACGACCGAAAATTCTAAAGCTCTAACATTTTTCTCTATAGTATAATAATTATACATTTGATAAGTATCTATTATTGAAATAATAGACTAATTATAAAGACTAAATAATAAAATAATTTAAATAAAATTACAAAATTTTTACTCAACGAAAATATATCGAACTGAGACAGCTGTTATTTATTAAACTATAATGGATAAATAAAAACCAATAAGCAATAATAATATCCTTTTGAAACTACTTCTAATCGTAAATATTAGACTATTAATTTTAAAAAATGAGATATTAGGTGATTTAGGAATACTAAAGAATATAGTCAACATATTCTATATTTACTTTTAGTTCGAAATAAATGTATTTTTAAAAATGACTAAATATATTTCCTTATACCTTTGCTTACTCATAATTATGTGTACTTATAATATAGACTAGGTTTTTATAAAAAAAAATCTCAATAAAATATCTCAACAGATATTTATTTTACATTAAACTTTTTAGATTATGGTCTATTGATTTGTAAAAATGCATCTCGGATTAGTCTTAGTATGTGTGATACTTGGCAGTTTCGATAGCATTAGTTCTGTAGATGGCAAATTAAACAAAAACGAATATGCATTATATTTTAAATATGTAACAAACACTATTCGTCATCAAAATGTGTGGAAAACCCTACAACATTTAAAAATTATAAATGCTCATAATAATATGATTGAAATTCAAGATCTATTTGAAAGTAATTTAAAGAATACGAGTACGGTAGAAATGACAGACATATTTTATATTATAAGTGATTTATTAAATTATTTATTCGCTGAAGTATTAAAAATCTTTAGTGAACACATGCGGATCATTATTGAAGATTGTGAACAATTTTTCAATAGAAATTTAACAAAATATAGCGTCAATTGCACAATGTTGTTATTGAAGGCAGCTAAAAGTTCTAATGTGATGTTTGAACATTTATATAAAATCATAAATTTTATCGAATACATAGATGTGAAATTTGTGACGCGCAACTCATTAGAAAATCAAAACATAGTATATGAAGATATGTACACTGTTAAGGAATTTACGTATTTATTGGAATCGCCAGATATTTTGGAATTTTCGAATAATGACGGGAGCCCTGAAGTCGAAAAAGCTAAAAAAATGTTAACAAAAATTGAGAACTTTATCGAAAAAACAGCTATATCAGCAAATGATATTTTAAATAAATGCTCCAATATAGTGGACTATTCAATAAAATCCAACTGGCGAGAAAAATACAATAATGAATTCGTCAATAAAAAATACAAAACTATGATTTTTGTTGATTTTATTATCCAAAAACTTGACGTTTACTACATGGAAATCATAACTAAATATTATTACAATATGGGGTTTAATGTATTACTCAATCGATCATTAGTCGAGTAAGTATACAGAAATTAGTAACATTATTACAGCTGTTTACTTGGTACTTATCTTTTCTGATTAGCGTGATACTCGATAGCAGTATAGTTGGATGCGTAAGCCCTCCGTCCGAAAGTTATGATCTAATTGATCTGAAACAACTTTTGTGGTGGGATAGCTGTTGACATATCGATGTTCGTCATCAGTGTGTGGCGTCTCCCTTCACACTTGGCTCGTCGATCCTGTTCTCTCGTCGCGCTGATCTGGTAGCCAGCGTATTAAACGCTTAACCAATCATATAATTATTTTATTTCATATTAAAAATAGTATTATTAAAAAAAAAAGTAACTCTAAGTAATATTTTATTTTAAATATGAAATTCATGTATTATTTCCAAAGTTTACTTAATTTAAAAAATATGTTTTAATATAATATAAAAATGCAAAAATTGTTTTAGAAAAAAGAAAAAGTGAAAAGTGATAATCGGACCTTTATATATTCCTTTATCTTTACATGTGATAAGAATTTGTAAGGCAATTAATGTTTGAAAATTTTGATTGCATTAGCGGATTTATACTCTGTTATAAATAATATTACCAAAGTAGAACTATTAATTGTAGTAATTTTAACATTTTTAAAGATTTCAAAATAAAATTAACCATCTAATATATATTTAAACTACACTAATACCACTACAATGCGGGTTTATAACATAGTAAAGAATAAATTTGTGGTGTAATTTTTCCATAAAATGCATACGACAGTAATCATTATTGTCCGGTATTACATTTAATGTTGGAAATATCAAAAATTTTTCGTAACTGATGATAGCTATAATATCTATTAACCTCTATACGAATCTAAATAAATAAATTTTTAAAAAAAGTGGAAGATTCATTAAAATAAATTTTATTTTAATTACTTCTTTAAAATTTATATGTCATTATTGGAATCATAAGTTTTAGTTATAGAATAATTATGATAAATTAAAATAATTATCAGATTTTATAAATCAAATTTTAATGCTGCTTAATTAATTTATTTTTAATCGTTTTTAACATATGGCGTTCATAACGCAGAATTAGAAAATCACATAACAATTGATTTGATCACGTCGGTGAATTAGTTAAAAAATGGAGAATTTAGGTAAAAATTAATAATATTCTATGACACAATGTTGTTTTCTACGATAGAAAAAAAACATATTTATCATAAATAATAATAGACTACAATTAATATTTTTATAGTTGTTCAATTTGTATTTTTGTATTTTAGGCTCACACATCATCAAAGTTATGAATTTTGTCAAAAAGAATCCATTGAAAAATTTAATGCATTGCTTCAAAATGGTAATTGGGAACTATTGAATAACATAAGTATAAAATATGGAAATAAATTAATCACTATCAATCGCATTCTTAGAGACATGGTGGATGACTTTAATTGTAATCTTAAAAAAAAATACTTTACACAACTATTAAGGTGCAGATATACTAAAGTATTGGCAGAATATGATACATATATGAGTACTATAATAGAAATTTGCAGAAGTGAAAAATCTAGGAATTGTTTAGATCGATATATTGATTGCGTAATACAATTTTTTCATTCAGTTAAAGAATCTAAAATAATGTTATCAAACATGTTGTTAGCTTTAGATACACTAAAAATTACAACAATTTGGGAAGTAAATAATAATTCATCAGTATGTTTATCATTAACACATCAAGTATTGAGCAATTTTTTGTCCAAGATAGAAAAAATGAATATACCGAAAATTGATTCCACCATTAAACCTAAATACGTTGGAGAAATAATAGCTAATGATTTGATAATTGTATTTCAAAATTCTAGGAAATATTTTACTAAATCACTTAAGAATTACCATAGAATAATTAATAAATATTGTCAGTTTAATAATGAACATAATCAAGAAGAAAAATTAATAAATTCTTTGAAAGAAAAGTTTATTGAAAATATTTATAATAGATGTAATTATTTGTATCAATTCGCTATTAATCAATTTACAAATTTTTTTAGTGAGAAAGCTAAAAGTGAATATGAAGATTTAGGATTTAAAAAAATATCTAATATTCAATAAGCATGTTATGTCGTTTAACTTGTTTTTATTTTTTTTGTAAATCTTCCCAGCAATTTTTATCATTATAATTATAAGTTACCCTATAAATAATCTTTTTAAATAATATCTCTTAAGTTTTGATTAACATTAATTAAATAAACTTACTATATCATATTTAAGCAGCGATGCGCAGCTGAGAAGATATTAATTTTACTATGATGTATTTTTTATTAATTTTTTTTGTGTTTGTCAACGTTCAATCTCAGCTATCGCTGGTCCAATTTTGATGAAAAATATGTCAAAAGATCACAAATCTTATCTAATCGACGACATTATCCTCAAAATTTGAAAGAAAAATCCCTCGTTCCCCGTAAACGGGGGAAATCCCCCCAAAAAATTACAAAATTTAAATATTGCTAATTTTCGACATTTTTTTAAGTTTTAGCTGCGATGCGCAGCTGAGAAGGTATTAATTTTACTATGATGTGTTTTTTTTTTTTGTGTCTGTATACGCTCAATCTCAGCTCTCGCTGGACCGATTTTTATGAAAAATATGTCAAAAGATCACAAATCTTATCTAATCGACGACATTATCCTCAAAATTTGAAAGAAAAATTCCTCGTTCCCCGTAAACGGGGGAAATCCCCCAAAAAAATTACAAATAAAAAAATGACCGAATCAATATAATTTTTTTTTTTTATAGATATCTTAGGTATTTACCTATCATTTTATATATATTTGTAAACATTTGACTCTTAACAAGCCACAGGAAAGGTTTCAAAATGGTAACATTTTTACAAAAAATTAACTTTTTCAACTTAACTTTTGATAATGTTCCAGAAAGACTGACACTTTTATATATACTTTAATTTGAAAAAAAAAATTTGACCTCTGGACTTGTTTTCGTGGTGAAAACGGACATCAAAGTTAATGAAAAACGTACTATTTCCGTGAAAAAATTCTCGATTTTATATTATCAAATTTATATTGCTATAACTTTTGGAAAAATGTATGGATCAATATTATTATTTTTTTGTAATAAATTTTTATATACCCCTTTCAACGGACACACTTTTTTTGTAAATCGGATCATATCCCTTTATAGAAGGGGGGTCAAAACTTAAAACATGCGTATTGAAACTAGGACATTTTAAATTTAATTTTGGAAAGTATTCCGGAAATACTGACACTTTTATATATACCTTAAATTAAAGCTCATGTAATATACTTTAATTTGGAAAAAAAAATTCGAAATATAGATTTGTCTACATGATGAAAATGGATACCGTATTCAAAAATATGGTATTTTTGTGTTAAAATTCTGGGCTTTGTATATTATTTTATTTTAAAATACCTGACAAGGGGAGTACACTGATTTTCATAAATATTATATAAATCAAATTGATATAGCATAGAAAGTTAAACTTATTTAAATTTTTTTGCATTTTTTAAGTCGAGAAAAATAACTTTGAAATTTGAACTAAGTTGCCATTTTTTTCGGTCGACGGAAGCGACGTACGGTTGTCGAGTCGGTAAAGCTTGTGTCTTACGCGCTTGGCGTACAATGTTTCAACCCACGTATGGCAAGGAATTTTTTGCATTTTTTTCTTAATTATTTTTATGTTGTAATAAATTTTCAATTTCTTTTTATCTCATTTAGATTCAACAACTTCAATAAAGATCAAGGATCCCATCACTGTAGTCGCCATTAGCGAAAAGAATTTTCTTATTCATATTAAAATTATTTTACTATATTTTATGTTATAGCTTTGATGCTAAGTTGAGAAGGTATTTTTTTGTGACTATCATTTGTTTTCTCTGCTCTAATTTTACCTACTTTTATCATACGTCAAATGATTACAATTAGTTGAAGATATTAAACTCAAAAATTGAAAAAAAAAATTAATCTATCAATTAAACGGTTACTTGTCCCATGTTCTCCATACAGACAATGAAAATCGTTCATTTTTAATGTTTTCAAAGTATTTATTGACGAATCAAGATTGATATTGACACGGCTCGCGTCAATTCTTTATACACAATGCCCCGCGACTCGTGTCACCTTTATCAGCCGTCGCCCTACTATGAGTATTTGACTGACCAACACCGCGTGCCATACGCTACGGTGCAAAGTCCAGCAAGTGCCGCACGGCCGACGACGACCCGCCCTAAATGGTACGGGAGTCTTCTTCCCGTTGTGAGAGTGAAAACGTTGACGAACCGATCCGCACCCGCGCCCGTCGCCATCAACCGCTGCTAACCTTTTGACGCACGAGGATCACGCCGGACATCAAGTCGTCGACGCCAGCGAAAGTGCCGCGATATTATGCGAAGATTATTATTGTTGTGTTCATCTTTTCGGTTTGTTTTATTTTTTTGTTAAAATAACCTGTTGTTACTCATTAATAAACGGGCCTTTAACCTCAAAACCAGTGTCGACCACATTTTTACGACGTAAGTCGTGTCAATATGATAGGTTTCAACTACAAGATTAAATCATTTTACTTTGTAATTTCATATTATATTTACTCTATTTGTGTGTGCTACTACTAGATTATAATATTCCAAATTTTTTACTGTGTCGCGAACCCTCTGTGCTACCGTTTTTTTATACAACATTGCTCACTGGGGGTTTGATAATGATATAAGGTGATTGTGAGTAGATGAGTACTTATAACCCAGTAAAATTTATAATGCAACAGTTTATTGAAATTTATTTTCAGAAAATTTATCAACAATAAAACNGATTGTGAGTAAATGAGTACTTATAACCCAGTAAAATTTATAATGCAACAGTTTATTGAAATTTATTTTCAGAAAATTTATCAACAATAAAACTCATATATCTAACACAACATAGACTCATAACCTAATTTGTATACTAGAAAGTTCTAAAAGAAAGTTATGAAATAAAATTATACTACTTTTTCCCAAATATGAAGTGAATAATTTACTAAAGAAAATATGTATATTAAAAATAAATTAAAATCATTAAGAGGTCCATAATTTAAAAAATTGTTATTAAATATTGTATAGTATTATATTTTATTTTCTCATATCCTATAATTCAATCGAGCATAAGTAATGTTTAATAACTTTCCAGCGGTAAAAAACAATTATAAATGTTCAAATAGACTTTCCCCAACTTAATATTAAAAATTTCTTATCAGTATTTATTGTGATCGATTCATATGATTAATACTAATACTAATACTACTAAGTTTAATATTAATTAACACCACACAATCTTATTTTTTCAATAGGTAACACAAAAAATTTCCATATTATACTAAACATTAATTATTCTCTAAAGTGAAATGTTAAAAAAAATATATATGAAATTAAATTATTTGTAATCGTAATATTTTGTACTGCAGTTTAATAGTAGAAGTAAAAATTTACAAATTAAAATTATTTTAATTGGAAATTTTTATTCAAAACAAAATTATTTGTCATAAATATTATTTATTTAAAAATCGAATTTTGAAGAATTTTATTATACAGAATGTTTAGTAAATAAGGAAACAGGTCAATTGTAACAAACAATGAGAATAATAGAAACCCGTTTCCTTACTTACTTAACTCCCTTATATAATAGAACAAGGATAAAAACTATTTTCTGTGAAAATTACTTAGCATGCTTTGATTTCCAAAATTTTTTTCAACGCAAGTACTCGCTCATGAGTCTCCGGAACAATTATTGGCAAAGGTTGTAAGATCTTTTGCCACTCACTCTCGAGCGTTTTAAAATGTTGAAAATTTTTTAATTAAAATATTAACATTGAAATACGTATTGAGAAAAGGACAGAAGAAAACGCTATCTTTTCATGATTACTGTGTATACATATGACAATAATGTGTATACACAGGGCCGTCCTTAGGGGGGGGGCAAGCAGGGCCCAGGCCCTGGGCCTCGCGCTTTTGGGGTCTCGCACAAAAATACCAGACCTGGAGAAAGATGAGTAAAAAAAAAAGGTCATTGAGAAAATTTTCCTACTTGCGCCAGATGATGTAAATTTCCCGCCACTTCTCGCAATTCAAAAAAAAAAGTAGAGTATTACTTGACAATTTCATTTAAAATTAATTAGTTCTTGTGATTATACTTTTTTAATTTGTATATTTAAAAAAACCTGCTATTTAAACAGAAGTAATACATTTGAAATACAATTTCAAACATTATAATGGTAAATGTCGAAATATTGTATTAGATTTATATGGATTATATATATAGATCAATTGGTTTACTAATTTCCCCATGATCATTTTTCACTCAACTCGCATATGCGCATACACTCGAGATACGCGATTAGGCAAGGCATGTTATTTTAATCGACGAATTTCGTAGAAAAATAGTCAAAATAATAAAACCATTTATTCACCGAAATAACAAACTGTTTGTAACGGTAATTTTTAGTATGTGTTCGTTTTTCGTGGTCGTTGGAGCTTAAATATCAGGGACCAAAATAAAATGAGTGGCCGATTACGTGATAAATATCGAAAATTTAAAAGTGGTGCTGAAAATCGAAAACTTAAAAATGTTCAAAAAAGAGCAGGATAAACTTTTAAAAAACTCTTTATGTAAATTTTTAAAAAAAGATCAAAATGATTGTGTTGCCGAAAGTAGTAGTCAAGTTAACATTGAAAATAACGAACAAAAATTATTGTTAGACAATATTACTATTGAAAGAAAAGAATTACAATCCAGTAGCAAGACTGAACAGAATGAAGTAAATGAAAATCTTCAACAACTATCAAAAGATTTACTACTCCAAGAAGATACAGAGAACAAAAAAGTACAGGACGATGAAATTGATTATGACGATCCAGGTAAATGGCAAAATATTACAGATAAATTACGAGATTATTTAATAGAGAACTCGCCTTCAAAAATTATAAATTATAATTTTCCATCAAACGACGAAGGTAGAAAATTCAACATAACACATTATAATCGAATAATGGGCAACGGTGAAAAAGTGGTAAGAAATTGGCTTTTATATTCTAAATCTTTAAATCGAGTTTTTTGTCTCTATTGTCGTTTATTTTCTTCAAACTCAACTTCATCATTGGCGTCAGAAGGATTTTTTAATTGGAAACAGATAAGTGAACGTTTAAAAGAGCACGAATTATCTATTTCACATAATATAGCTCAAGAAAAATGGCTACAACTACGTATGAGACTTAATCTCCATACAACTATAGATAATGATATTCAAAGAAACGTAAATATTGAAAAAGAACGTTGGCGTAATATTCTTAAACGAATTATTGCATGTATAGAATTTTTAGCAGAGCATAATGACGCTTTTCGTGGTACAAGTTCTAAGTTATATACAACTAATAATGGTAAATTTTTAGGCTTACTTCAAATGATTGCAAAATTTGATTTAATTATGGCTGATCATTTAAAACGTGTATATAATAATGACATCCATGATCATTATTTAGGTCCTAGGATACAAAATGAACTTATTAATATTATTGCCACAAAAATACGTGATGAAATAATAAATCGAGTAAGACAAAGTAAATATTTCACAATTTTATTGGACGG